ACGTGGACAACTCAACATGGAAAACTTAAGTGCTATAAACTGCAAAGCTCTGAACAAAGGTCCTGCTTGATTGAATGTTGGATCTCACAGGAAATTTAATGAGCCAAACGAGAAAAGTAAAACGATAATAAGTCAAAGACTACTGCAAGGCTGACACAACGTCATAAGCTTAGCTTCTATTTAAAACAATACTTCAGCTGGCCTCAGGTTTAGATGGTAAAAACAAAATTACAGTATTATATTATGGTGCCGATGTTTGTCCTGTTTTCAATAGCTGTTTCGTTCATTAAAAATTGTTCATTTCGCTCATATAAGTTCAGTAAGGTCGACGAATAAGACACATTCTCATCAAAGCTTACCACATTAGCATGGGATTTACTCATTTGCAAGTCCCTTTCCAGCAAACAAATACACATCTCCTGGTCATTTTTAATGCCTTGATGAGTCAAATGCTCGTGAACTTCAGCCCTCAAGTTGGCCATAGTACTAATCAGTGTTTCAGCCAGAAAATTTTACTTGAGGGCCAAAGTGGCCCCTGAAGATCTTTTTTAGGGGCCAACAAATTGAAAGCTACAGAAGGAAAAAATGCATCAGGGTACCAAGGAAAATAAAGCAGTTTATTAGGATCTATGATAAAATATAATAGTAAGTGCTTTTTGAAGTGAAGTGTTTCTACTCAATAAAGTTTCTTTTGAATCAGATACTAGTATGAAGGATACGTGCATTACACGAGAACAATCTGTACGCATACATGACGTAGTCAATGATCAAGGGTTTGCAATGCATTATAGGGTGATTTCAAACACGGCCAGCCATTGGTGAGAGAATCAATACAGCAAAGCAAAAGGACGGGTTGACTTCTTTTCTTATGTTGAATGTTTTAGAAGCAAAGATCTTTCAATATGATTCTCTAGAAGAGCATAATGTGTGACAAAATAACCGTTAATTTATTGATCGTCAACACAGAAATGTAGTCGCCATTATGCCATAATATGGCGACTAAACCAGAATTTTTGGTTGCCAAGGATGAAATGCTTCTTGCATTGGCGACTGTATCGATTGCAATTTTCGGCCCTGGAATGGCTTTTAAAATATTATGCCTGTGTTAAGCCTGGAGTGTTGTAAAAGGAAAGGGCCAAATTGACCCTTTCTTTGTTTTTCTGGGGGCCATCTCTGGTTGTAACGTGGGATTCCCGCAATGGCGCGTTCTGGCAGAAACACTGACTAATTCGAACATTCGAAGTCAACTCCACTTCAATTTAGCAAAAGACCTAATATTAATGGTCATGTAAAAGCTACAAAATCATCATTCGGGCTGGCTCGATGCACGCATTGAGTAGTAACCACGCAAACAAGATAGCGAGGCTAGCACTGACTGCATGGTTACTATTCCAATATGGTGTCGGGCTCGGGCGCTCTCGTTCGGCCTGACTAATTATGAACAGTGTCTACACCTGAGTGAGTGTGTGATACATTTGCATATTGGAGTCCCCGCAACAAACACGTTTCTACGCTTCGCGTATCCACAAGTTTAAAAAGAAATACATCACATGCAAAATTTTCTATTTACTGGTTTACATATTTGCTGTGTGGAAGTCCGATGCAGAGAACCATTTATTAATGCTTCTCTTGAAGATAACTAGAGATTTTGTAGCGCGAAGTTCTTCTGGAAGATCGTTCCAAAGAGAAGTTCCGCTGTAGCTGAAGCTACGCTTCAGGCAGTCAGTTCTTGGTTTCGGTAAATAGAATTTTTGTCTTGGGTCGCGAAGATCAAAGGACAAAGTTCCTGTAGTGAACATGTTACAAAGATAAAGATAAACAGGCCAAGATGGGCTTCTTAAAGCCATTTCCCCAGAGATATTTCTTGATTTTCAAACAAGTGAATGTAAACTGTTTTTAAAGCATTTTCAATTATAGCCCACGGAAAAATATGGCGATGTTATAATGCAATCATTCCCTTTCAACACATTGTAAAGTTTTGAGTGTGTCTTTGATCTCATCTCAATCTCATCTCAATTTTTTTTATTTTTCACTCACTCATACCATGAAGACCTGAGCTGAATATAAAATCCACTGAAAGATTATCAGGTAGCTGTTGTGCGGAGTGCAAGGCAATCAAATATTCAGAAAATTCAGCAAAACCTGGAAGTAGATTTTGAGCCCAATTCGGACGAAATCGTTTTTGGCATATTTCTACCAAAGAAAGCCGTATTAGCAGAAACTATGGTCCACTTCTATTCTTACTATGACCTATCTATGGGCAAAATACAAGTGAAATCAATTTTTCGACTTGTGCTATTGATAGGCAATTTCGGTCGATTTTTATCAGCATTCACTCTTAACAGCCCAAGCACCTACTTCATTCATTGTGATCCGATCAAGAAAACCAAAAACGGGAAGAGATCTGGTGTTTTGGCTAAATTAGACATGAAAGGTCCGCCTTAAAAAAAGTTAACTATATACTGCCTCCACAAAATATTCTGCGTGAATGTTCGACCGGAAACTTCATAAATAGCTTTACAATTTCTGTGAGAGACAATGAAGGTGAAGTTTTTGATTTCAATGACTTGTCACTTGAATTTGAATTAGAAAAAAATAAAAAAAACTGATACATACAACTTAATGTCCTCAGCGAATGTGTTGCCAACTGCCCCAGAATTGTTTCAACACAAAAGATCTATCCGCAACTTCCCAATCAACCTGACAATTTCTGTTTGGAAAAATAAATGACATTGCCCTCACATTAGCGCAAAAAGTTAACCACTACCGACTTGTGGCCAAAAAGTATAAAAGAGCAAAAAAGGTAGTTAACTGGGGTGCTGGGGGCTCTAATTTTCTTTCAGCAGCCTTTTCAAGTGCCAGCTTACGTTCAGCTTTGTCTGTGGTTGGATTACCGCCTACAATACCATTAGGTGGTGTAGGTAATTGTTATAAAAAAAAACATCAAGAGATTGTTACAGTTGCTATCGCAAAACATGAAACTGTTGACTGGCTTTTTTCCAAAGCTATGGTTGATAACCAGGTATCTGACACAGAATTTCAGTTAATTATGACTGAATTTTCACAGTGTAATGTGCCAAAAGAAGTCGTTAGGGCTAAACTTACCTGCCAGCCATCTCGTAAAAATGTGGCTGATGTTGAAAAAGTGAAAAAAGACATCTGCAGCAAGGTAGAAGAAGTGTTTCGACAAAAACTGAACACCCTTAACTGAAGTTTGAATTAACATTTGAAAATACACGATTCTATTTCCATATTGTAAAAGCATGATTGTAATCTCTCAGATGTTTATGTTTCTTGTGAATGAATATTTCATGCCAGGGTGGCAAAAAACATTAGAGAAATTGCATGCGAAGTAATCTAGTGCTTAAATAAAGTCTCGTTTTGATGCGGTTTCATTGCTGCACAACTCCCCATTACATGTTTAAGACCTTGAGGTTTTCATAAAAGAAACTACGGTTTCACAACTTCCTTTTGTATTCCTCTTGGCTTCAGCTGAAGCCAAGAGGAATTTTTGATGCGATCAGGAATGTAAAGCTCATTCTGAAATTGTACAGGGAACTGGGGTGAGTTTCAAATTTTAACCAATCGATAAACTGACAGCACCACATGAAAGATCCCATTGAGTAGACATTTGACCACGTTTGATGCTTTTAAGGGGAAGAGAGACCAAGTTATGGACCTTGAAACATGGTTCAAAATCCATACAAACATCTCTTAAATGTTGAGACAGCGTCCCCCAAAACCATATAAATTTTTTATCGGTTTTGTGACAACTGTAAAATCCAGTCATTCACCTTAACCATTTTAAAGAAGCAGAGATGAAAATCACGTACATGTATGTTTGGCCATTTTTGAGAGTATCACAGAAATCATAAAATAATTTAAGATGAAACCTGATAGAGAATACAGCAATTTCAGGTTTTAGTGGACAAAAATCTGGTACCAGAATAATTTCAAGTGTTTTATTGTCCTTTTAACACTTTCTTAAAGCTAAAGATATAAATAGATGCCTAACATAACAACGTAAACAATTTCCCATGGGAACGAGAGAAAATAGATTTCAAAGTTCGGAGAAATTGTGCAAACACAGGTAAAATTTCATCATCAGTTTCATTTCACCAGTACTTTCAAGTGCTTCATATATACGAAGTTCAACACTTGTTTTTGACATTTGGTGTTGCTGGAAATGATTTTTTTGAGAAGATATTTTAAAACAGTCGTACAGAAGTTTGCGATATGATGTAAATAATCTTGGCACTCAGTTTTTGTCCACTTGCTACTAAAACTTCTGGTGGATTCCACCTTAAGAGTTTAAATAAAATAAAAGATGGGACATCTTTATTTTCCCTTCTCTAAGAGCTGAGATTCTAGAAAATAATTCCCATAACCCCCCTTATATATGTGTGTAATTGTGTTTCGCGTTTGGGTTTGTTGTGAACAATGTTTTTATTTATTTATTTTTTATCAAAGGGCTTTTATGAGCCACCTCTTGAATAACAGGCAGTGATATAAATTTCAAGGATTTGTTTCAAATTCCATATTTGGAGTATGAACAGCAGTTGTTATCCCCTAAGGTATCACTCAAAGAAACATTCAAATAAGCATTAATGACGACTGAAAAGATGTTTATTACATGTGACGTTTTTAAATTTCAGCAGTTTGGTTCTTTTTCACCAAGAAATATTTACATTTAATGTGAATCAAATAGTCAATTTTATTCCCTTGCATTGTAATCCTTAGAGCCTAAACGTTCATGTTGAACTGAGCTGTGCAGCAATTATTCCATTTATTACTTTTTACTACAGAGAGAGGAAACTTTTAAAAACTGCTATGAAATACTTAGTGGATTGGGGAATGAGCAAAACTGGCAAGTTGAACTGGTATACCACAGTTGTTCCTGAAACTGATTCTTTCTCTTAAAGAACACAGGAATATATAAAACTAGACCCACTAGTCTTTAATGTATTTGAAACTTGAAACAATACAGGATGTTTATTCACCTTTTAACACACCAGGTAAAGAAATAGATTGATCATCATTATTTGCATCATCATTATCATCAATAAGGTCTTTTGGCCCAGCTTCTGTCATGTTGCTACTGTGAAGAAATTCCTGAGGGAATACACAAGGGATACATTACCACATTTTACTTTTAGAATGACCTCACAACAATTTATGTGTATTACCTTCATGCCATCTAAAGAAAGGTTGGTAGAAATTTCAAATCGTTTTAACAGCATCTACAACACAACAAAAGAAAAGTATGAATATTTAAAGAAAATCTCTTAATGGAGTTAAACAAAACCAAATGCCACCATGGGAACTTATGTTGACATTACAGACACGAAGTGCAACTAATTTAGTCATAATTATGTTTAATGCTAATTTATGTATTTAAAAATGCAGATTTATCTTTTAAACAACCAGATCTGAGGTATGCACCTGAAAAATGCTGTAACAAGTTCACCTTCAAACCATAAGTAAATAAACAGGTTTTCTTTCAAAGAACTGACACCGCTTGTTTCAAGGTGTGACTGCAGTAGCATCAACATCATCAAATAGCCCCTCTCCATTAGTTTGATGAATACAACATTATCACACATGGAAAACTTGACACAGCTGCCAAGACTGGTTTCCCCTTTGTGTTTCCCTCTTTGTGGTTCAAGAAAAACAAAATTGCCAAACTGGTCACCTTTCTATCTCTGCCACACCGGCTTACTGGTACATAGTAAATTCTCACAACTTAACCTAATTTTCAAGAAGTACCCCACCCAATAAATGTCCCATTTGGAGGATGTCTTTCACAAGTGACTCTACTGCCATCATTGCCCCCTATTCTAGTAAGTACCCTTCACAAGATGCTCTTGTTTTCATCCCATTCACAGATTTACCAATAAAGACTCTTAAATTATAAACAGCACCAACCTGTTGATCAACATGATATATACAAACAAACTTAGATCTGCCTCCTGCCAAGATGCACTTTCCATCAGCAGTGTAACAGAGGCTGGTAAAACATCTGTCGTAAACAGGCAACAAGAACAAAGTAACATAAGAGCATACACAACTTTATTGACTACTTTGTGCTAGTGGAGGTAAAGACATTTTAATGTCTTAAAAGACTCTCAGAAAATAATCGTAATGTCACCAGTCTATATGGGGAAATTTCCCATTTTGATGTGTCAGTACCAAAGTGTTCTGATGACAAGTTTCTTTATCTTAAAAGACAAAGACAGGGGACTCATCATATCAAGTATTATTTTTTCCCAAGAGGGCACGGTAACGAATCCTGCAATCTGATTGGTTCTTAGTGCGGTCCAGATTTTCCTATCTCTGACCACGATCA